GTATTAGCATCTCCATTTTACAAATGGATAAAAATAAAGCTCAGAGAGGTTGTATTTGTAATGTCCAATACAAATAGCTGGGATTCAACCCAGCCCTGACTGATGCCAAGATTCAGAGGTTTCACACTATTCCATGATGTCTCTTTTAAAAAGAGCATTACTTGAATTTGGACAACAAAAATAAGAAGGGTACAGCTTTTTGCCCTTAAAAGTTATCAAGTCAGTCAAGGAAGCTGGAAACTCTTACCTTGCAATAAGGTTAGAGTCCCTATATAGTACCTCTTTTTTCTCACTTAAGTAACTGTGTTAACATATGCTGAATATCATCAGGGTTATTGATAGTAGGTGGTAGGTGAACTACCTGAGAGGAATGTGTTATCTCAGGAGTTTGGCATAGAAAAGTATTGTCCTTCAGACATAGCAATAGTTGGCATCTGACAAGATATCTGTCTCTCCTTCTTTCCCTCCCTCTCTCTCCCTCTCTCCTTTCCTGCCTTCAATCCCTTCTTCTCTTCCGCTCTCTTTCTCATGTAAGTTTAAACATAAATATATATTAGCATATAGTGCATATTATTCAGAGAAGAAATGTTCAACTTAATGTCACAGGACAGGAATGTCATTAAATCTGACCAAGCAAAAGATAATTCCTGGAAGAAACTAATCTTGACTTGAATTCAAAGAATGAAAGTATTCACACTGAGAGTTGGGATACGGATGGGGCAAAGAGGAAATTTGTAATAAAAACTGGAAACACTGGAAGGGAGATGATTGTAGCCTAAAACAGGTACTGATAAATACGTACATGTTGCTAAGATAGACAGGACTTGGTTGTAAAGTGATGCTGACTGCAGTGATACACTGTCCCAGAAAGTTATTTATTTTATGGACAAATTCAGTAAGAAGTATAACATATTAAAATAATTCTGAGTTGGTAAACACTAGGAGATTTGGAAGGAGGCATTAGATTTAAAAACACTAAAAGGTTTTTGCTTCCTATCTTTCACTATATAGATAAGGATACCTAGGGAGGTGAAATGACTTGCTCAATACCCTAACTAGTGGTAGAGTCCTGGTCATGAAATCTCTAGTCTAGTACAGCTGGCTCCCAGAAAGAACCCCTGTCATCTGTTCACCTTTCCCTTCCTTTGTGGCTGTTGGGCAAACAGGTAGTTAATTGTTCTCTGTATTACTAACAACTCTCAACGCCATAACAGACACACCCAGGAACAGTGACTCAGGGAGCAATCAAGACCTGAACTTGGATGGTGCAGTGCAAGGCACCTCAGGAATTACTCTGTCCTAATTCGCACTAGACTTTTGCTTATGTATCTTCTTGATTCCATATTTCACAAGAGTAAGATTCACATCTCACCCAAGAAGCTAGCCTAGGAATATGTAACTGATGCAAATGGCATTCTGGTTAAGCATGTGCATGCTCACTATATTCAGAAGTTTTATCTCTGTGGATACCCACCACTAAGTAGCTGGAAGAAAAATTAATGAAAGATGAATTTTTAAAGCAATTAGCGAGAATGCTTTCATAAGAGGAGTTCACAATAATTAGGAATATATATATACATATATATGTCAACTTGGGAACACTTCTTGATAGACAAATAATTACCTGGGAAAAGTTTTGCTAGACACTATCAGACTTTATAAAGTTGAACCAAATGTAATTAATTGTCAACCACATAATGAAATTTAGAAAAAGAGCCAGTACATAAAAATAAGGCCCTTTTAGAGCACAATTAAGATGTTACCTGTACTTGGATTTCCCCAAAGGAACATTTTCAAACAAAACAAGTAAACATTAAAAAACAACAACAAAAAACCTTCTAAACAACTTCTAAGTGACCACTGGCAAAAATAAAATGAATAAATAAAAACAAATCTATAGATTTCTGAAATACTACAAAGATTATATTCTGCTTTAAAAAACAGAATGTTTCAAAGATTATATTACATAAGCTAGAAATAAGAGCATATACATTAATGATATTTGAATACAAAATATTTCCAGAAAGATTGATGAGGTAAACAGTATCATTTGTAATTGCTACCTCAAGGGAACAAAAGGTTTACTTTGTAGTTATGATCAGATTGCACCTGCTTGGATTTCTAAGCAGATTGCTTTTGGTTTCTTTTCATTATTTTAAGATTTTTCCATAGTATGGCACTTACGAATCAGAATCAACTTCATGGCAACGGGTTTTATGGCATTTATTTTCATAAGTGCCTTATCTCAATCACAAACAGAACAGTGAAAATAGATTTAAATTTTTCTCTGAGATATCTTCTTGGGTTATGCTTTGCTGGCTCCTAGCCCCACTTGTTTGGTTTCGTATCTCCATTGAGTTTTACAGTGTCAGTTACCAAAAGAATCTCCCTGAGAAATTTGGAGGCAAAAACTAAAAAGGATCATCCCCTTTATAATGCCATGACAATTCATTGAGAACTACCAATAAAGAGAATCTGTCCTCTGAAAATAGTTCAAAAACAGATCGTCTATCATGATGACTAATTGGCTTTTGTTAATTCTAAAACGTAATAAGAATCTGACTTACCTGCTGAATTAATGATAGCTATGAAAGCCATATGTAATCTTTTAAAATCAATGTATTTCATAAGATTTTCTTCATAATAATATTCTTCTCATTTTAAAAATTCTCACATAACCTTGTCCAGTTATGGACTACATAATCTTATTGATAAAAATTGGGGTCGGTAACTTTTTTCCAGACTAGTCAATCCTTCAAAAATTTTTCAATTGATGTAGTGGCATAGGAAAAACACTGGAGAAACATGCATTACATAATATATAGCCAATTTGACTTCAATATTTATTGCATCTGGGTAAAAACCAGAACATCTCCAGTGCTTTTGTAAAAAAAAAAAACCAAAAAACTAAATTATCTGTTATGATTTATATTCCACTGTAATATACTCAATGTACAAGTTCCAAACAATTCTCTTGCTTTGAATTCAGCTTGGATATGTGTATACAAATTGAATAAAAGTAAAATAAGGTAAATTCTCTTTCCTATCTTTGATTTTGTAGAAGAGAAGCAGAACATTACATTACTGTTTTATAACATGGACTACAATTCCCTCAGTTTGCTAATGCAAGTGGGAGTTACCAGCAGACAATGGCCAAGCAGAGGATATTACTTTTAGCGGCTCATAAATATATAGCTGCCACATAAGAAAAAAAAAAAAATCAAAAACTCATGATCAATGTTAAGTTCTCACAATATCCCCTGAATTATACTATGCATCGTAGAAATGCAGTACCTCTAAGTAAACTAGCTATGGTCTACACTGGTAAATTCATTAACTAGTAAGTTGGCCATAAAAATAATCTTGTCACTTATGTATTTTCCAATTTTTAGTTAACACTATGGTTCAAAAGCATATATTCTCTCTAAACAGAAATTAGCAGTGTTAGCACTTGATATTTATTATTTTGTCTTTTACAAGGACTCACATATTCTTGACTTTTGTTCTTGAATTCTGCTATTTTACAAAACACAGCTGTATAATTTATTTACAGAACACAGGACAGTAGTTTTAAAAATACTCCTAGTTCAATTCATTCAATAAAAGTTTGAATACCTACCGTGTGCCTGGTTCTACAGCTAATTTTTAACAATTGTAATAGATAAGTACTTTCTTTGATGTACTCATGCTAAAGGAGTCAACATGGCTAAAACAGATTATTTAAACTCAGAAGGTTGGAGGAAAAATTACCTTATTTTTGCAAAGCCCACATTTGACACTGGCCTCAGAACATTGTGTCTCCCTAACATAATTGATAGGCTTTTAGGTGCCTGTCTTGAGAAACTACAACATCACTGCAGATTTCAAGAGTTTTATATTTCTGTACTTCATAAAAGCATGCTTTTCCAAGCATGTCTGTGTCTTGGTGACATGGAAGAAAGCAATGCCATGTATGTGTGCATCCTTCTGAGGTCCCTTTCACACCTAAATTTCTATATCCTATAGTATCTGCCCTGGTTGCACAGTGGTTAAGAGCTCGTCTGCTAACCAAAAGGTTGGCAGTTCGAATCCACCAGCCACTCCTTGGAAACTCTACGAGGCAGTTCTACTCTGTCCTATAGGGTTGTTATGAATCGGAATCAACTTGACAGCAATGGGTTTGGTTTTTTGTTTTTGTTTTTTTGTAGTATCTGCAATGAAGAAACAGGCACATTACAGTTAAAAAATCAAAACCTTTTGTCCATAATTTTAAAACTCTAGGTTGAGCTCAATAAACAGCTTGGGAAGTTCTGCTGTACTCTCCACAGTGCCTAGCATGGTGCAGAGTACACAGAAAACTCCCAGTAACTTTTAGTAGTTTATTACAAGAAAATTTCTGCAGCTTTATCTGAGCTTTAAAATAGAATTTCTGAGATTTATAAGCCTACAATAAATATTTGATAAAGAGCACCGAGGCCTTAAAATGCTAAGTACTTCAGGGCCTTACTTTAGAATTTTGCATTATAATGCCTCATTTTATAATGTTTCCATACAACTCAAGAACTAAAAAAGTAAACATATAGTTTATTTAATAGCATAAATCAGATCCAGAACAAGAATTATGACTCAGTCCTGTTGAGAACCAAGAGTTTCACCTGATCTACCAAAAAGATATTTCCTTTTACAGATTAAGAAAATTTAAGTGGTTTAGACTTATGATTGTGTGAAATCAGCTTATTCCCAGTCCACACACACCTTAGTCTTTGGGAGCAGGAAGTCTCTTGGGGGTATGTACATTATGAACAGAAAGAAATTTCCATCTTTAGCAGGGACCTAATGCCACTGTCTCAGATATATGCAAAATACAGGAAAGTATAACCTTCGTATAAATAAAGTGTATTTACTGAAAATAGGTATGGCCCATATATACAGATTCTTTGATTAGCACACGTCTGTTATACTATTCCTTGTACTTTTCTACATGTTTAAAACCTTTCATTTCAAAATAAAAATGTCATTACCTTTCTTGCTTCTTTTATCATCTTCCGAACAGTTTCCTTTATTGTAAGTAGGTGTACTCTTGGTGGGTTAAAAAGGAGGTCTATATGGGTGCCCCCTAAGAGTCCAGGCATCACATATGGCCAGCCCAAGTCAAGGTTTGGAGCTTCAACATCAGACTCAATGGGCCAGTACGTCCCGGAAGATGAGGTATCATCATAGGAATTATCAGTACCATGTGTTGTACTCTGAGCAACTTTCTTGACATTTTTCAGAATATAAATAATTTCTTCCTCAGCTAGAAATTCCGAAACTCGTTCCTTGGCAAGAAATTCTTGGTATGCTTCTAATCCGTGTTCAATCAGAGTATCAACAGCTACCCGATACCATTCCTTGTAGTGAGGCTCAATGTAGTTGTCTGATTTACACTCCTCATTCAATGAGGAAAGCATTGATGAGGTCTCCATGCTTGCAAGCATTTGACAAAAGCACGTTCAAATGTCCATTCATGCAGTGACGAGAGGTATCTGGTTGTTGGAAAAGAAGAAAATCAAGATCAGTTAGAATTCTGCAATCAAATACTTTATGATACATGCCAACTACTTATTTCTATTATTATCAATTCAAAACAATATACATTTCATAACAAAAATGACATTAATAGCACCACAATTCACATATCTATCACAGAAAAGCTAAACAAATTTCCTTTTACAGAATGCTGGCTGATTTTCCTTTCCCAGGTCTTTCTACTTTCAGCTTTTACCTAAGGCACCTTGCTTCTCTGACATCCAGAAAGCCCATCCTTCTCCACTTTAATCTGGGACTAAGTATGGTGGTATCCATTTCTATAAACCTTCTTGGTTTGGGTTTTAAATAATTTAAAAATAGAATTAGAATGTAATCAAAGCCTGGCCAGCCATTCATACGAGTCTTTACTGAGTACCTATACTGCACATAATAATATGGTAGATGAAATATAAATGCACACTTCAGCTGTCTTCCAGGAATTTATTAATTAGTTGAAGAGGCAAAATGCACACACAAAACAGTTAACACTTTGAACAGAGCAGTATATTGCTAAGGGCCAAAATAAGTAACGCCTTTATTCAGTGCCTTAATAATAAAAGCAAGTAAAGATCACTACAGAATAAATGAGTTACAGATAGCTCTGTAGAGGGTATGGGCCTCAGGTAAACACGGGGCAATGAGTAAGAATATGACCCGATGGTTAATATACAAGTTAATTGCTTTTTTATACGCCAGCAATGATCAGGTGGAAAGAATGAATACTGGCATACCACACAAGGGTGTTTTACAAGCAAAAGTACAGAACAGCAATGAGCTTGGTACATTCAGGAGTCAGCAGAAAACTTGATCTGTTGGACAGCAGGTTCCTTTTACTAAGATTAGGAGATAAAATTAAATAGACAAGCTGGAATCAGGCTTGAAGGGACACTGGATATTTTTGTGAAACAGCAAAAGTTACGTATAATGCAATTAGTCTGACAGCAGCAGGGGGTGAGGAGAGCCTTTGAGTGTTCAAACACTCAATAAACAAACGAAGAGAATATTCTAAAGACAGTTCATAGAAAGAACTCCTAAGATTTGGAGACACGACAGCATATATAGTGATGATTTAAGACTTCAAAGATAAATAAATTTTTGTTAGGAATTAAAATCTGCCTGTCTAAGCTCACCCTCAATCCCTCACAATGTCAACAAAATGTTACTCATTCAGTCATTCACTCACTTATCCACTGTGAGAGATACTCTACTGGACTTTATCTAAATCAGACAGGAAACAGTCCACTCTTTTGAAGTCATAATCTCCATTATGTGAATTCAAACAAAGTACAACTCTGTGATGTGCTATAAGCACTGGTAAAAGGCTGATTTGACCAAAAACATCTAAAACATCTTTGCTGGTTACCCTGTCCAATTGTTAAAATTTTCCACTTACGTCAGCCTTTAAGGTCTTGGACATCTGATATGGGAGAGAAACTCAGGAAGCCATTACCATTTATTGACTCCTTAGACCAAAGTATGTAATGAGAATCACTAGATAATCATAAAGAGCACCAAGTCTTAAAGGAATGGACATAGGACCAGTAAGTTTTGCTGGGGGACAAGGAGTCAAAAAGATTCAGCCTATTTTAGGGCAGAGCTCAGGAGCACAGAAAACAAAGGGCATCTTGCTTCACTATTTTAATGGAGACAAACGTAAGAATTTTGGGCTCAGAATTTTTACAGAGAAAGTCCAATAGTAGAGCAACGCTAAAGATTCAATCTAAGAATAAAAACAGAACATGTTCTTTTCTGTCTTCTGTAGAGCCCTCAGCTTGGGTCATAACTTGATCCAAGCTAGACAAAAAGAACTGTCCTTGGATACTAGTCTCCACTTTGCCTCATTTGAGTTCTGGAGCAGGAAGGCAGTGTGCCTACCTCAAATGCTATTATGGTGGAGCTTTGCAGAAGCATACTCTCACTCCTCCTTGGGCAGAAGGAAGAACACCAAGCTGATCTGCTAGTATAAAAGCTATGATATGGAGAAAGAAAAAAATTTTTTTTATTACTACCTAATAATATAAATTTAACCTATCGACATGCACAGGGGTACATGCTAAAATTTTCATAAATCTCTCAATCACTGTATAAATCTTCATCATCTTTGTGTATAACCACATTTCATTCCAGTTCAGTGGTTCTCAACAGGGGTGATTTGCCCCCCTCAGGGGATATTTGGCAATGTCTGGAGATAATTTTGATTGTCATGACAGGTGGGGAGGTATGCTTGTTGCTGCTGCTGTTAGTTGTCTTCAAGTCCGTATCTAATGTGTAAAGGCCAGAGATGCTGCTAAACATCTTACATTGCACAGGATAGCCTCTGACAACAAAGAATCATCTGACCCAAAACATCAATAGGGCTAAGGTTGAAAAATCTTCAAGTTGCTCACTTCATGTACCTGATATCATACTACCAATTAACAATCTTTTCAACACTTATTAAAGTTCTCTCTTGCACATAGCACTCATTTTTAAACAATGAAATAAAGCTTTCATTCACGTGATCAACGTCAACCCAGATGCTTAAACTATACTTCCCTCAGGTTTGGTGAGGTGTAGTTTTCATTAGATAATTCCAGCCCGTGAAAGTACAAGTACCCAGTGACAACATGAAAACTGCACCTATTATTTGTAATTATTAAAAAATGGTAGGTAACTACTGGTGTTCATAAAAACTCAAAGTTTTCTGAACACTTATTTCTTTACTTAATATTTTAAATTTAGCTATTGATTTCCTGTAACATGTGATGCTAAAAGCCTGTTATATAGTTGGTACTTAATGCATAAGTGTGTAAAAGATTATATTAACTTCTGAGCTTTATCTATTCAAATAATACTCTGCAACTGTAAAAAAAAACCATTTTTGAACTATGTACACAAGCTGAGAAATCATAAAGGAGATAACAAAAGAACTATGAAAGGAAAACGAAACCACAAGGACAAGATGGAAAGTTAATTAGGAAGAAAAAAATTGAAAATGAGAAAAACGTGAAGCACTATTAAAAAAACAAACAAACCCGTTACCGACTCGACCCTATAGGACAGAGTAGAATTGCCCCATAGGGTTTCCAAGGAGCGCCTGGTAGATTCGAACTGTCGACCTTTGGTTAGCAGCTGTAGCTCTTAACCAGTACATCACCAGGGTTTCCAGCGAAACACTGTAAGATTAATCAAATAGCAATGCAAGATACAATGCAGAAAACCACAGCATAAGAAAAATGCAACAACCATGAGCACTGCAGTGAAGATACTCTAAAAAGCAGCTAAGATAAGAAATAAATGCACTTGATATTGTCCTGCTGAAAAGGCTACAGTCTACCCACTGTCTGGAGATGTGCATTTATATAACAAGAGTTGTTTAAAAGGGATACTTGTGAAGGAAGGAGCCCTAGTGGCGCAGTGGTTAAGCATTAGGCTGCTAATAAAACAGTGGGCAGTTCAAATCCAACAGCCACTCCTTGGAAACCCTATGGGACAATTCTACTCTGTCCTATAGGGTCGCTATGGGTCGGAATCAACTCGATAGCAATGGGTTTGGTTTGGTCTTGGTTTTGTGAAGGAACCATCTACAAACAAATTTTAAGACAGAACAACAAGGTAATGGTGCTTATATAAACGAGTATTGCATAAAAGTGCCTATATTTAGTTATAGATTTAATAAAGCACTCTCAAGAATTCAATCACCGAACATTTGAAGCGCTTCATTTGAGGATAAAATTAATTGGGCATGACTTTATGTATATGAAAAGCGCATTATTTTATCAATAATCATTAACATCTCCTAGAAAGTATATTCTCTTCATACACAATGTAGAATTGATGAGGAAAGAAAAATAAAACCCTACCAAGATGTATAAGCTGGGCAGGCTACTAGGTCATCCAATATTTAGTGACACATTACAAAAAAATAGCTTTACAAAATATGTGATTCAAATTCACATCTCAAAAACATTACGAATTGCGTTCAGGTTTGAACTTCAGTATCATTTGTGGAAAGTGGAAATGCCCAGTGTTATATCTGTAAATAAAAAGGATATAAAAGTAGGCATAAAAAATAGATTTCAATTCATGGGCTACTCTGGAAAACAGTCAGTCCATTTCTTACAAAACTAAACCTGGATTACTATATGATGCAGCAACTGCACCTTGGGATTTATTCCAGACAAATGAAAACTTTTGTTCACACAAAAACCCGTATATGAATATTCGTATCAGCTTTATTTGTAATACCCTAAAACTGGAAAACAACCCATATGTCCTTCAAGAGGTGAGTATTATATAAACAATGGTGCATCGTACTATGTTCTGTCAAGTCTATTCTGACTCATGATGACCCCATGTGTGCAGAATAGAACTGTTCCAAAGGATTTTCAAGGCTGTGACCTTTTGGAAGCAGATGGTCAGGCCTGTCTTTCGAGGCACTTCTGTGTAGGTTCTAACCGTCAACCTTTCGGCTAGTAGTTAAGCACTTAACAGTGTGTGCCACCCAGGGACTCCTACACAGCCACAAAACAAACTATTCATAAATGCAACTACCTGGAAAAATTTCCAGAGAATTATGCTGAGTGGAAAAAAAAAAAATCAATCCCCAAAAGTTACATACTGCATGATTCCATTTATATAACATTCTTGAAATAACAAAATTCTAGAAATGGGAAACAGTTTAATAGTTGCCAGGGTTAGGAGTGGTGTGAAAGTGGGAGGACATAGCTGCTGCTATAAAAAGGCAACTAAAGGGATTCTTGTGGTGATGGAAAAGTCCTGTATCTCGACTGTATCAATGCCAATATACTGGTCGTGATAGTGTATTATACTTTTGCAAGATATTACATTGGAGGAAACTGGGTAAAGGGTACAAGGAATATCTCTCTATTATTTCTTCCAACTATAACTACCTCAAAATAAACAGTTTAATTATAAAATCATACTGATGAACAATTTCACATGCCTTGGATAGGAA